ACGGATTACTTAAATGCGACCAAAGCGACATTCACTGAAATACGAAGAATCGCTGTTTGACTATTCTCGGGAGTTGACATACACACTTGTATTATCCAAATAGCTGTCTTTGGAGTGGTCCATCAGCTTTATTCCATTATTGCTACGCCATCAATGCGCACACCGAGTTTCGTGTTGGTGTTTACCTGTGCGTTACCAGGGTTTCTGCACGTGGCTATTATCTTTCCAGGTGAAAACTGTCCACTTGCCAGACTGTCCACTAACTGCAGCCCGAGGCCCCGGCTGGCTCCAGTAATCAGCACAGAGCCGCATTTTTTAAAATTCATAGCAGCACTCATGGCGGACTGTATATGTCCCTGTGCGCGAGCTCTTAGATAATCTGCAGGCGTCACGCGACTCCTCCAGCAGGGGGAAGGCTTGCTCTACTGGGGCTTGCGCTTCTTCTTCTTCGTCTAGTTTCATTAAATTGCCATCCTTGTAAGTTTCATTACTGCCTCCTTCTGGTTTTAGTTCTTCATTGCAGCCCACTGTTGTCACATAATTGCTGCTGTTACTTCAGTTGCTCTAAAAACTTAAATATGCAAAAAGTCACGCATGGCTCCACTTTCTTCTCTGCCCACAGTTTTTGGACACTGGATATTTCTCTAAACCTGTAAGTTACTGTAATTATTTGTAAACTTTTAATGACTGACTATTTTCTACTCTACCCCAGTTCTTCAACATCACCTCAAATCAGCAGTTAGACAGCTGAAAGTTGGACACAGTTTGGTGTTCTGCCAGGACAATGATCTCAAACACAAATCAAAACCGGTTCATTCTCCGGTTCAGATCATTAACAAGCTCTCCCGTGTAGTTTTGGGGTGATTCGCCAACTTTCTCATGATCATTTTCATCCATGAGCCAAGATCTTTTGTAGGAGCAACAGATCAAGGGCGACAGACAGCTTTGTGCAGGTCTACGATTTTGTTCCTGGTGTCCTCTGATGACAGCTCTTTGGTCTTGCCCATGGTGTAGGAGAGGGTGGAAAAGAAGAAATTGATTCTGTAGACAGGTGTGCTTTATACACATAACAAATTGAGATCAGGAATATCTGTAATTGATTAACTGACTGCAATCACTAATCTGTGGGAGCTAGAATTCTGTTTGGGTTGTAGGGGATCAAATACTTATTTCACGTATTGACATGCAAATCAATTTATAGCTTTGAGATTTTGGGTTGATGTTTTGTCTCTCTCCATTAAAATGAGATGATTTATTTCTTTGTAAGTGAGAAAACTTCCAAATTCAGCAGGGGCAACAAATAATTATTTCCCTCACTGTATGTAAATCTCTGGCAACTAAAAATGTGATGTCTTCCCTGAATTAATTCCTGGCTGTTGTAATGGTTGACAGTGCTAACAGTGACTCATTCCACAGAGTATTTCATTTTCTTCTGCTTTTCTACCCTATAATGGTAGCAGGAATGTATATAGCTTAACAGCACAAACACTCAAATAAGCTGATATTCTCCTACAAATGCCTGCCTGCTTCAAGTCCTCTACCATGATCCCTGTCCCCAAGAAACCAAGGATCACTGAACTAAATGACTACAGACCCGTGGCTCTGACATCTGTGGTCATGAAGTCATTTGAGTGCCTGGTTCTCTCCTACCTCAAGACCCTCACGGCCCCCTCTTGGACCCCCTGCAGTTTGCATACACAGCCAACAGGTCTGTAGACGACACTATCAACATGGCTCTACACTTCATCCTGCAGCATCTGGACTCCCCAGGAACCTACGCCAGGATCCTGTTTGTGGACTTCAGCTCTGCCTTCAACACCA